ACTGAACCGATTGTCTCATTGTTTTGCACCGAATGTCAAGTGTTTTCATTTGTTCATAAATTACGTGACATTAGGCTTTCGCAGACATTTAGGCAACCCTTCAGTGAATAAACTTCAAAAAACTTTTATTAAACTCATTATAAGACTATGCAACGAGTTAACCTTGCTAATAATTTAATAGGAACTTTATTTTAATTATAAATGATAATAATATGGATGAAACAAACAATTTATTAGATTATCAAAACTTTTATCATTCATTGTGTGAGTTATGCGACGAATTCATAGTTTGTTTGCCTATCACTGAACTCTTCATTTGATATCTTGTGGTCACGTCTTGTTGTCTGAACGGATGGCCGCGAACTCAGAGCTAAGAGTTTTCTCTTCGCAGATGGAAATGGATATATAAAATCCGTTTACTATTAGATTGAGTGCATGACATACCCGTCCTCTTTTGCATTTGTCTTATTTTGATGACCACATAAATTGCGGCACATATGACCAGTACTATCGACGCTATAATTATGGCAACTATTAGTCCAGTCTTTACCTTTTCTGACCGATCACTCGATTCATTATTAATAGACCCGGATGTCGACCGTATGGTGGACTCGTACGCAGAGGTCACACCAATTAATACCATTAAATAAATCATATCTAATATAGACTTCATTCGAGATTTGACTGTAAATCTGTTTTGTGTTTAAATTAAATGTTTGCTCAAAAGTTTTGAGTCAAAATTGCGACTAATGTTAGCGTCAAATCAATTAATAGACAGATAAACAATTATTCACGAGTTTATTCAAATCACGAGCAAACTATGCACTCAAATGAATACAAAAGTTTGTTACAAAACATAAATTCAAGAATTTAACGAATTGGCAAAAAACGGTTTAATTTTTACTGTGTTTCCATTTACTTGTTGCTAACATTCGCTTCTATTATACAGTACTTCCCAAACAGTCATTTAATACTCAAATTGAACACACAATTGACACTCAAAACTCGATACAAATTGAAACCCAGAATCGGGTGTTAAAAGACCAATGAAAGCCTTATCACACACTCAGGCGCTGTTGGTATGTGTGGTATTGTGGACGTGGGGTGCGGTTGTGGTGTCCGGCGCCCATTCTCTTGGGAAGACCTGGATCTGTTCAGACGAAGATGGGAGTAATCACCGACTGGGTCGGGAGATCGACTACATGAGGCCCTGTCTTAACGCCCGGTGGGACGCCAGTCGTACGTACGGCGAGAGCAAAGAGACCTGTTGTCGAGACTACGAGTCCTACTGTTTGGCCCAGAAATTGGTAATTATAGCCATAGTTGTCGTAAAAATCACTTTAACCACACCATAGAGTGGTGTCTACATTGTTTGCCTAATGAAATGACACCTATCCCTCCCCTACAGTACATGAAATATTGTAAACTTGTTGAGAAAGAGTCTGAATGGTTGAGGTATCAACGAAATGTGAGCCATGACTGCGGCCAGTTGTACGGCATCCAAGTGGGCTCAGCCTACTGCGAGACAATTGTGTCTAAGAAACCCCTGCAGAAGTCGTGCGCCGGCTATTTCCCGTGCGATCCCACCAAAAAGATACCCCTCCCGAAGGTGAACATCGATTTCAGCGCTCCGGGACGTGGAGACGACCCCTGACAATTGTGTCTAAGAAACCCCTGCAGAAGTCGTGCGCCGGCTATTTCCCGTGCGATCCCACCAAAAAGATACCCCTCCCGAAGGTGAACATCGATTTCAGCGCTCCGGGACGTGGAGACGACCCCTTTTTCGCCATTGGCCACAAGCCTATAGAATTGAAACCTCCGACCCCCGCACCGGTAAAGTATAGCACCGATACAGCACAACCACCTAAACCCCAGACCGGGAATGCTATTTCCATACATATATCGGTGGTTATGTCGGTGACACTGGCGGTCATAATTGTCAATATTATATAGATTTCAAATGAATTTATTATCAAAAAAGTTTTGAATTGTTTTTTAGATTTTTATTTCTATATTTATTTCATACAATTTTCTCTTTAAATACACAAATATTTAATATTTAACATTCAATATTTAATACACAAATATTTTTATAATAAAAACATATTTCTAATGTATTGAGTGATAAAATGTTTAATATTGAAACAGATTTATTGTATTTTTGGAAACTCATCAAAAAGTATCCAAATTTCATAATTATTTGTCTCACAAGTGAAGTATAGCCTCGACTTCGATGTCGACCCCCAGTGGGAGACTGGCTACACCTATAGTACTGCGGGCCGGATAGGGACGAGAGAAGTACTTCTCCATCGTTTGGTTAACTGTCGGGAAGTTCTTGAAGTCTGTGATAAAAATGGTTAGTTTCACGATTTGGTTCAGTGTAGCGCCCGATGCCTCGCAAACTGTCTTCAGATTCTTGAACACCTGGTCTGCCTGTGCTTCAAACGGTTCCAACACTAACTTATTCGCCTTCACATCCGTGGCTACCTGTCCCGAGAGGTAGACAATATTGCCGGCTTTGATGGCCTGGGAGTATGTGCCCACCGGTTGTGGTGCTAATGGAGTGTTAATCTCTTGTTTCGAAGACATTATACTATATTGTGATGAATTGAGTTNTTATGTTTTGTAACAAACTTTTGTATTCATTTGAGTGCATAGTTTGCTCGTGATTTGAATAAACTCGTGAATAATTGTTTATCTGTCTATTAATTGATTTGACGCTAACATTAGTCGCAATTTTGACTCAAAACTTTTGAGCAAACATTTAATTTAAACACAAAACAGATTTACAGTCAAATCTCGAATGAAGTCTATATTAGATATGATTTATTTAATGGTATTAATTGGTGTGACCTCTGCGTACGAGTCCACCATACGGTCGACATCCGGGTCTATTAATAATGAATCGAGTGATCGGTCAGAAAAGGTAAAGACTGGACTAATAGTTGCCATAATTATAGCGTCGATAGTACTGGTCATATGTGCCGCAATTTATGTGGTCATCAAAATAAGACAAATGCAAAAGAGGACGGGTATGTCATGCACTCAATCTAATAGTAAACGGATTTTATATATCCATTTCCATCTGCGAAGAGAAAACTCTTAGCTCTGAGTTCGCGGCCATCCGTTCAGACAACAAGACGTGACCACAAGATATCAAATGAAGAGTTCAGTGATAGGCAAACAAACTATGAATTCGTCGCATAACTCACACAATGAATGATAAAAGTTTTGATAATCTAATAAATTGTTTGTTTCATCCATATTATTATCATTTATAATTAAAATAAAGTTCCTATTAAATTATTAGCAAGGTTAACTCGTTGCATAGTCTTATAATGAGTTTAATAAAAGTTTTTTGAAGTTTATTCACTGAAGGGTTGCCTAAATGTCTGCGAAAGCCTAATGTCACGTAATTTATGAACAAATGAAAACACTTGACATTCGGTGCAAAACAATGAGACAATCGGTTCAGTGAACTCAATTGGAGTCCAACCGAGAGTTGAATCGCTTGACAGCACTATAAGTCATAAACAATGAGTCAATTCGAGTGCTTCGTAACGATT